GAGGGTGGGTCTACCCATCTACTAACGTAGTATATAGTATATAGTAGTGCACTAGGGGGGAGGAGGGAGGGAAGTAGGAGAGATGGTAGCAGTGTGCACAGTGTAAGATGGCATACTCCTGCCTCCCATGGTTGCAGGGAATAGGTGGCGCCACGTAGGCACGTTTGATTCAGCGCACTTACACTCACTTATAATGGTCAATACTGCGACGGCATTAAACTAAGGATTCAAGTTACTCACTTAAGGACGCACTTAACTATGCAGGCAGTACTTGACTCTCTTCCTTCTCGTAAACACTTTCGAAATTAAAGTGTTTGTGTGTGCGCGTGCGTGTGTGTGCGCGCATGGGTTTAAGCATGGGTGTGTGTGTGTGCATGCGTGCGACGTGTACTTACATGTGTGATGTGTGTGTGACTGTGTGTGTGTGTTTCTCTCACGTGCTACCTGCATGCATACATCCCTAAAACGTTCCTCGTTTGCTGTAACGGGACTTGACCCAGCGTTTGCAAAGGTATTGAGACGGGATGAGTCATCATCGTTCACGGTGTGCGTACTCGCGCGCGACGCAACCGGGTGAATTATTTAACCGTTGCAACTCGGCGACGAAAGTTCCTACGCAAGTTTCCTCGATACAAATCGTTCTCGCTGGGTCGTTCGCGTTGCGGCAAGCTGAAAAAAAGCCGTGTTCCTAGGATCGGCCGACCGACCGACACGTTAACGATGATTGCACATTAACGCGCGTGTTCACATTCTGTGTTTCGCACGTGTCAATAAACCTATGCGTTCGCATGTCGATGGCCTCGTTTTCTTACAATCCGTGCGCATGTACGATGCTGCAGTCATGCTACCAAGAGCCCATTAACCATTAACCATTAACCATAAAGAGAACCATTAACAATAAGGGGTAATGGGCTCTTGATGCTACCCAGTAGCAAGTAAGTAGGAACAGTGTTTTGGTCAGAACTGGTGGAAATATCGATGTAAAATACATGAGGAATTTCTATTTGTGTAATTGACACCTTTCGATATAAACCAGTATAATTGTAATTTGATATTCGGCCATTCTACACGATAATCATACCAATCGATCTTAGATGTCTAAGATGAATTTTATTTTCATTTTAATAAAACGGAAGGCTATGCAATGGTATTTTCAAATGCTTAGGATATCTTAGGTAGGAATGAACCCACATTGCTCATATGTGGGATGTAAGGTCATTGAGAAAATTGAATAGTTTTACTAGTGAAGGTCAAAGTGCATATTTAGATTATTTTACAAAATGTTGTCAGATGTACTCGGTGACAAATATTTTAGGATTTTCATTGCATACAACATGGAGTAAACTTTACTGATAATGCGAATGATAGTGTGTGCTTATTCATCACTGCTTCTATTTCCATTTTTGGAATGAGTTTTCGGTTTGCAGCATTCGGTTGGCTGGAGTTTTGTTACCCGCAATTAAATTTCTCTCCAATTAGTCTGATTGATTATGAAGTGGCGTCAACATATGGTTGAAATTGTCCATGAATAATTAATGTGACCCATCTCTCCCTCATTCTCCCTCTCCAGCTCTCTCTCTCTCTCTCTCTCTCTCTCTCTCTCTCTCTCTCTCTCTCT